CGCCGCCCTGAGGAGACCGTCGCGCGCCGGGGATTGGGCAGCGCGGCCCAGCGCGGGCCCGGGCGGGAAGGGCGCGCCCAGACCGCCACCCCCCGCGCGGGGGCGGGAACTACAGCTCCCAGCCGCCACCGGGGCACGGCGCTGCGACGGCACCGGGCGGTGCGGGGGGGGGGAATTCGTGTGTGTGCTCCGGCAGCTTCCCGGCGTGCACCGCGCGGGGAGGCGGGGCGGAGCGGGGTCGTGGCGGCGGCGGTGACTCTCCCAAGGTGACTGGGGCTGGGCCCGGTGGCCCCGTGGCTGCCCTTTGCCTGCCTCCTGAGGTGCCCAGGGTGGGCTCGTCCTCCGTCGGTTTGGGCTTAGGGTACCCGGGCTCCGGGGCCAACGGCGCTGCCCGGCCTTGCCGCCTGCGGGTGGTGTCCGGGCGGGTGAGAGGGAGATATGGGGGGGCGGCGGGGCTAGTGGTGCTGCTGCGGCTGGCTTTGGCTGGGTTAAAACCGTCGCTTTTTCCTCGAACAAGTCAAAACTTGAAGTGGCGGGGGGGTCTCGGCGGCGGTAGTGCGAGCGAACGGGAGGGAGGTGTACCGGGGCTCAGGGGCTGGGGTTTCACCCCAGATTGCCCGCAGGTTTCATATTCTTTCGGGTTTAAAGCTCATCACTGCACTCAAGGTACGCCCTGGCCTGTATCAGGAACAGCGTGGTGAGTAGGTCTCAGGAGGTGATCATCCCCCTGTACTCGGCACTGGTGAGGCCTCACCTCGAGTGCTGTGTCCAGTTTGGGGCCCCTTATCACAAAAAAGACATTGAGGTGCTGGAGCGGGTCCAGCGAAGGGCAATGAAGCTGTTGAGGGGTCTGGAGCACAAGTCTTACGAGGAGAGGCTGAGGAAGCTGGAGTTGTTCAGTCTGGAGGAGGCTGAGGGGAGACCTTATTGCTCTCTACAACTACCTGAAAGGAGGGTGTAGAGAGGTGGGGGTTGGTCTTTTCTCCCAAGTCACAGGTGATAGGACAAGACAAAAATGGCCTTAAGTTGCGCCAGGGGAGGTTCAGGTTGGATATTAGGAAAAATTTTTACACTGAAAGTGTTATCAAGCATTGGAATGGACTGCCCAGGGAAGTGGTTGAGCCACCATCCCTGGAGGTGTTCAAAAGACGGATTGACATGGTACTGGGGGACATGGTTTAGTGATGTTTTTGGGGTTTGCTTTTTTTTTTGTTTGTTTATTTTGTCAGAGTTAGCTTGATGGTTGGACTAGATGATCTTGAAGGTCCCTTCCGACCTAGGTGATTCTATGATTCAATTTTTTGGGTCTTTATGCATGTGTATTGCAGAAAGAGCTAAGTAATTCTGTGTTTCTGTTTTGCTATTTGTTTTCTTTTTAGCTAAAGCATCAGTGCCATCATGATTCTGCACCAGATTCTGCGACTTTCTTCCCTTTTTCGCTCTGCTGTTTCTGTTCACTTGCGCAGAAACATAGGACTTTCTGCTATTGTCTTTAATAAGACGAAAGAGCTTGATCCAGTTCAGAAGCTCTTTGTGGACAAGATCAGAGAATACAACACAAAGAGCAAGTAAGTAGAGGAAGTTATTTTAAGGCTGATAGCAAAAGGAGGAAAAATGTTGATTTTGACAAATGCTAAAATATGCCAGCTTTGTAGGTTGGCCTTTAAATACTTAAGGTGTGCTTTCCTGCAACTCTTATTGATAGTGTCACAAGTGAGAAGGCTTATTCTTGCGTACCTGACAGAAAATGTCTATTTTCCCCCCTTAAATAAATAAATAAAAGAAGTAATGCTGATATAATTCTTTGTGGATAGTTAAGGCACTCAATTAAGTTTTTTTGCAAACTTTGTGAAAATACTGGTATGTTAATTTTTCCCCATCTTTGTGCTCTGTAGAAAGAAAAGGGGAAAAAATAAAAGGCCCTTTTTTGTCTGGGGAAAATAGCTGTTCTTCAGTCTTGTTGCCAGAAGCTGAATGGAAACGGCCTCCAAAAGCAATTGAGAGTTAATGGAATGTTAGGCTGGTTCCTTAAACATCTTAAGTTAATAAGCAGTTCATTCAAATGGGATTGTAGATTCTTGGACTGTTTGAATGAACTACTTAGCAGGAAACTAAAACTGTAGTAATTATGTGGCATTTATTCTTAGTTCTACTGGAGGAAGATCTGTGTTTCCATACCTACAAACCAGCCTGTGTTGGGAGGCATGTTTTTGGTGGCTTTACCAATCATAAGTGATATCTGTGTTGGTACAAATGAGCATTGGTAATCTAAAGAGTTACTATTCTAATTATTTTATATTTCCATCCCAAGAAATCCCTGTTTGAATCTATATGAATGCACCCTGTCTCAGTTTGTGGTTTTTTTGCTTGTTTAGTATTCGAAACACATGCTGTGCAAGAACAGTTAAGCTTTACTGACCACGATCACTATTTCAGAAATAGCAGAGGTACAGATCACAGTTTTGTTAGGAAATCACACAGGGAACAAGTGAAACTGAGAGCCTTGAAAGCCTGGCTACTCAGTGTAGTTTTATGTCTCAAAAGGCTACCTCTGTGGCTTGGATTTTCATCACTGATAGTAGAAAGCCTGTAGTTTATCCTGAGAACCTTGTTTATGTGTAAGGTAAGTAGGCCCTAAGGTGTGTCATATCTCGACTTTTGGAAATATTTTAGATTGGTTTGCTTTGGTTGTCAAAAAGCCTTTTAATTCGTAAATGGCCATGAAAACATAGAACTTCTACAGGAAATTTCAGAACTGAGATATTAATCAGAAATTTTAATGTTTTTTTAGGCAAGCTGGAGGGCCTGTTGATACAGGCCCTGAATTTCAGAAAGAATTGACTGAATCCCTTGCCAGACTTCAACGGGCATATGGCGAGGGAGATCTCACCAAGTTTCCAGAATTTAAATTTGAGGGTGAGTTAACAATCTTACTGAATGTCTAATTGCAAGTTCACTGACCGTTTTTCTTAATTCCCATTTAGTTTTTATTTGGACCATTAATTTCACATAAGATGCCCTCAGTGGATATCCTTACTTTCACACAGTTCATATATGATTGTCTGACTTCTTTTATTGATTATTTGCCTTTTCCAGTGGAAATGTGGACTGACTTAGACTGATTCTTAACAAGACTTGCAGTCAGATACAGCTGTCTTAATTACAGAACCTAAAGAAATAGCACAAATATAATAGAAATAGCCCAGGGTTATTGTTTTGTGTTTTTACTCATCCTCCCACACAGGTCAGACAACTGTTTTTTAAATGACAGTCTGCTATGTCACCCAAGCTGCAATTTGTAGATTTTCTAAGCTCATCTGTAAAGTAGGTGATTTCAGAAAATGAACACAGAACTTAACTTTGTTCCTTAGAATTACTTTGTGACCAAATTATATTAAACCTTTTTCCTTCAGATCTTTTGATATGACTTCTGTTTAACTGCTCTAAGTTGGTGTTAGCACGGTTTCGTATTACCCAGATTGATTATTAGGAAAAGAATGTTCGTGAGGAATGGTTTATCAAGAATTCAAAGAAACAGCACAGACTCTGTCTACTTTAAGACATAAAGGCAACTTAATTTTTTAACAGACAGGCTCATTTCTTTAGTTTTGTTTCTTTTGCTTGCTTATACAAGTGTAGCTCAAAGTCCTCATTGCTTACAAGCAGTTTTAGCTGAAGCCCGATTTTGGAGGTGTAAACTGTCTAGATGCAGTAATCTTCTGATTAATTAATCTTCTGGAAATTCTAATTCAGATTAGGAACACACCTAGAAACAATTTGGGTTTTGGTGGTATTTGGCATTTAGTGTCAGATTGTTACTGGTGCAAATAGAGCATCTGTAAAGTAGGATCTACGGTGTTTCTTCCCCCTTCTCCTCCCCTCACCCCAGTTTTAGGGATGTGCTTTCTTTATATTCAGTTTTAATTTCTATGTAATATATGAAACAATACATATGAAAGTTTAGGATTTTTTTTGGTAATAAAACAAAAATTTGCGTGACCATTAGAACAGAATAAAGGCGGGGAGACAATGTTCTTTTACCACTGCTGCCAATCCATAATCTAATTTTAACAACTTTTCAAATGGGTAGAAACTTGGGATTTTTCTGTTTTGGTGAAGATTACTAGAAGATGAGTCTTACCTCAGACTTTGTAGCAAGAACAGGCCACCTGTTAAAAGCCTTAATTCTTCTGAGTTTGTACCTTTGACATCAAGAACTCGTTTCTCAGTGTTTGTATGTGGAGAATGTCTTTTGCTAAGTGGAGTTAAACTTGTGCGCTCCATTCTGTTAATCAGCTATAAGACGCTAATCAAGATGGAGGAGCTTGGTTACTTGTTTGTATATCAGAGCTATCTTGGAAATACTATTCGTGCTGTCCAGTAATATCCTGGTTGACTTCTTTAGTTCTCTGCTCCCTTCCCTACGCCAGGTGTTGCTAAAAGCTGTTTTAGCAGAATGGTATTGAGGTGTGTGTCTGTCTGAAACCTCAGGCATTACTCCTCTGAGGTGGAAAGAACCTGTCTTAGTTTAATCTGTTTGCACCAGGGTATGACTGGATGTGGGCAGCCCGAAAAAGCTAAGTGGTGGTGTAGGCTGCAGCATACAAGAGCTTGCTATAGCTTGCCAACTTTTAGTTTTTGAATTGTGGTTTTCGAGGCTGGAATAAAAAGAGACTAATACGACTTTTCTCTCTCTCGCCTTTGTCCTTTAGAGCCCAACTTTGAGGAGACGCCAAAGTGATCTGTGGAGGTTGTACACCAAACAGCAGTGGACATCAGTGGAGCTGTTCAACATGGCACCAGTTGTAAATCAATAAATGCAGTGTTGCAGTTCGATTTCAAAAGCGTGGATAAGTTCTTAACTGTATGGTGTGAGTGAGCTGTGCTTGTCACCTCTTTAAGTGACTGAGGCATCTGAGTAGTGTTTCTCCATCTTAACTGCAAAGCTCCTTTGCCAAGCTACATTTTAGTGCTGAGAAAGTGTAACACTGATAACAATACACCAAGAAGGAACTACTTATTTTTCTTAGTTTGTCGCATTCAAAAAGCTGAATAAAAAAATTCCCATGCATCTAAATGAGTAGCAAAGCCCTGCAGTAGTGAGCAGCCAAAAGCATAGTCACAAGTATACTAATCTTACACTGCATCAATGAACACACAAGTGATGAAGTGTAACTCTTACGGAAGCAATCAAAACCTGTTCATTTCAGGTTGTGTGATTTAAATTTTAGTAAGTGAACTACTGACACAAACACTTCAAGTTCCACAGAGCTATTTATTTGTGACACTTCAGCAGCTACAGTCCAGATACTACAGCTTGAGTTGTACTGGCATGATATTTCTTCAAAATGAAATTACACATGCAGTCTACAGAGAGGGAGATGTACTTCCTTATGGAAGAGAAGCTGTTTGCATTTTATACTCAACAATAAAACACTGCTTGAGCCTCAATTATAGGAAGCTCTATTCTGTCAGGAGAGTGAGTTTAAGTCTGCACAACGACTTACACGTGGCTTTGGCAAATCTAATACAAGTCAGAATTGCAGGAGATATTGAGCCCTTGACAATGGTGGAGACATAAGCAGTAGAAGTAGTGGTAGCAAGGTCATCTATTGAAGTTATTTGAATAGATTGTTCCAAGCTGTAGGAGTGAATCCTGTATTGCTGCATGTATACATGAACAAAATGAGAAGTCTTCACAGAAGTGACTTGTACATTCAATTTAGTTCTGTCTTTAAGTTAAGTTTTTTGGGGTTTTATTTTTTTTTAAAGCAATCGCCGACAGGTTGACTAGATCTAAACATTGGCAGTTTCTATTTTCAGAGTGTAGTGGGTGGAAACAATATTTACATAGTAGAGGTCAACAGATCCCTTTGATACTTTTGTATAACAAGTAGTCATTTGATGTCCCTCACAGAGGCTGAAATCTTCTAAATAACAAAGGACTTGGTATGCTTGAAATCCTAAATGAAGCAAACAAAGTTACATGAGTAATTTCAAAGTTCAAAGACTTTAACTAGATTAACATTTAGTGTACCTCTCAGAAGAAACTAAGGCATGGAGATTGAAAAGACGTGTGCTTGAAGCACAGTTAGTTAACATTTACCCTTTTCTGGAAAGGTAAGTCTACAGAATGCACTGCCACACAGAATAAAAGTAATAACCTATTAAAAAACCACAAGTATCCAACGGCTCTGTTGAGCATCCAATTCATAAGTGCATTAATGTTGATAAACAGATACCACATCACTTCAAAGTGTGTTCCTTCCCACTCGGAGCAACCAGGTAGCTGGCCTCAGTGTCTTACATCTGCACATGCTGAAGGAAATGAGCTTCTACTGATCAGTGTGCTCTGTTTTGATTAAAGAAATGGGTGGTGGTCACTGAGCTTTTAAGGCTACTAATGTAGCCTTAAACTATAAATATGTAAAAAAACTTAAACTATAAATAGTGAATCTAAGTTGCTGCTAGTTGAACCTTTAGTTGGAGCTCCATTCTTTTTGCATCAATCTGACAAAAGCCCTCGACAACTCTCAGTGAGGAAGGGGGAAAAAAAGGAGTAAGTTTAACTTCCATACTTAGTCCAGGCTTTAGACCCACATTAATCTCAGAGGAATTAAGGCCCAGACTTTCTCTTGCTGCTGCTTTGGACGGTGTCTGAGTTAGTTTCCTTGGTCAACTGATAAGAACAAGCAAGGCAAAGTACAAGACTTCACAAACAAGAAATGGCACCATTAAGTGGACATTATAGAGATGAGACAGGTTGCCAAACAGTGTAAGGGTGTTACCTTTGTAGTTTATCTGATGGAGCAAAAGTAATCGTGAAAAGGAAAAAGAAAAAGCCTGAAAGAAGCTAATAGAACAGGGAGATGTAGGAAGAAGCAGGTAAGAGACAACCACTGGTTAGTGCGGTAAAGATGGCAAAGTACAAAGCAAGGTGCTGTAGTTGCGTGACACTTGAGACTGATAGGGACCTATAAATGCAAACAGAGGTAAAGTATCTCCAGGTATTGGTGGCATATCAGGTTTGGGGGAGTGTGGGGATGGTGCGAAAACATCACAGAAACAAGAAATTTTGAAGACACGTAGAACTTCTTTGACACTGCTGAATGCCAAATACTTGCCTTTTCACTCGTAGATTGATAGTTGGTCTTCTTTCTGTTAATAGGAAAGGAACACAGGTTAAATAATACTTTTCTGCTATTACTTTTAACCTATTGAGAACCTTATTTATGAATGCATTTTTCCTGATGTCCAGCAATCCTTAGAGTATTTTCCCCTTAGAAAAAAGTTACAATAACAAACCTATTGACTGCTTTTAGACAGCTGTCATTATCTCCTTAACCACTGTCAAATTCCCTTCCCTAGCCTGTCTTTTCAATGCTTTCAGTTACGCTTTTTCTAGTTCATAGCCAGTATAAAAAGCACAATATTTAAAAGTCATATTTGTATTTCTCTTTAGTACTTTTTTTTTACCTGCTATAGCCTACAACTGCTAATATAAACATTTAAAAGATAAAAAAAATTATTTGAGGGCAGCCTCCAATGAACCACACAATTTTAGCCTTGTGTGGGAACACTAAAATAGCTTGAGGAACTCTAACTTGCTACTAAGAAATATAAGTGCATGAAATAAATCCATATTAGAGGAGCAGACCAGAAACCCTCAGGAAGTCTTCACCTGTCATTATTTCAAATATTTCCTGAAATAATCCGTAGGCATGGATATGAGAACAGTTTAGTTTGGTTCTGGGCACCTTTTGTCCAGTTTGAAGAGAAGACAAATGCATGTCTATAGCTGCGTTAGGGCTGTAAACCATAGCTATGCAAAAAGACATATCTCTAGACATTTATCACAGTAATATTCCTTAATTCATTTTCTGAGCATCACACTGGTTCTAATAAGGGAACCAGCTGGTGTGTAGGATCAGGTTTAGGTCAAAATAGCCACTGTACAAGAGTCATGTGAGAAAGGCCTTAAATAATTAGTAACTCATCAGAAACATATAAGAAGTTCACAGGGGTTTGTGAACTACTTGCATCAAGATACTTACTGGGAAGAGCTTCCCTCTGAAAAAGAAAAAAAAAAAGTATAAGATTAGCACAAGAACAGGTTTTTTAGCTGATGTGAAGTAGTTCTTTGAAATAGCTATTCATAGCTTATTCAGCTCTTCAGTTTCTAGAAGGAATTTCTGAACCACATGTCTCTTTTTGGTGAAGTGAGTTCAAACAGAAAAAGTTGCTTTCCAAGGTAAATGACCTCCCAAGTGAACACGAATTCTACCAGCAGCTCTGCTAGCCTTTTATTTTTAGGCAGCGGACCTTCTCGGCCCCCGGCACTTGGCTCCACAGGCACAGGCCCTGCCAACGCTGGGGAGAGGGTTCCAGGGCGCCCCGATTTTTGGCAGCCACCTCCACGTGCACTTTCGCCAGGACCCAGAAGAGGGAGCCAGTAACTTATTTTCCCTCTCCATCAGCGCTCAGGCCTTTCAGACCGCCAGTGAAACTCCTACAGCTTGTTTTGAGGTTGCCTTTCTTTGTCATTCCCTCTCAAAGGCAGAGCAGAGAGGCTCCAGGAACCAGGGTTCGGCTCGTTTGCCCTTTGGTAGCCCTGTACAACTGCAAGAACGTCTCCATGTCCTTCTTACAGTATCTTTTGCAGTAGAATTTGGTAGAATAAAAAGGTCTACACAATGAAGTTGCTGCTGTCACGCTCTTTAGCTTTAGTACCATGGCGTTAGAGCCTTCATGACAAGACTGTTACAGTCAGCACAAGTACAGACTTTTTTTGACACAAGGAAGGAGTGATTTTACTTTACTTACTTGTAAAGTAGCCCTTTTTTTGGGCATAAAATACTCCAAGGCCACACAATGCCATTACCAGAGCCACAAATACTACTGCAGCGATGATACCACTTACATTAAGGTCATCTGTAATTATAAAACATAAGTCCAATGATATAAATTGTAAAAATTTCCATAGGAAGGATTTTTTTCCCCTAATTACTACTGGCACCTTTTGTACCTTAGATTGTCTTTTGCCCAAGCTACATAAATTAATTAGTGACACATAGATGTAGACGAAGCAGCCCAAAATCATTGTATCGCAGCCACATTAACAGCAGTGCTTGATACACTTCAACTGCTAATTTGGGTCAAAAGTAAGGAAAGAATAAGAGGGGTTCAAGGGGTACGTACTCCTCATTTTGTCTATCCCCCCCCAATAAGTCTTATTCATGTCACATGTCTCTAAGGAAAAATATCTTGAAATCTTTGAAAATCTAAAAACAAGTGTTTTCATACAGTTACTTTGCCTAAAATAACTAAAAGATCTGACGACAATGTCAGGTCTCAGTCCTGAAGAACTCTTCAGGCAAGCTATTTAAAATTAAATGCTTCTTTATTTTTAAACAGCAAGGCTTTAAAAATTCAACACAATAAAGGCCAACAAATATTTTAGCCCAGATGTCAAAGGTTAAACTCTGCACTGTGCTACAGAAACATCTAGCCATTTTTATTTTGAAGGTGATGACCCATGGCCATTTCCCGATAAAACCACTACAATCTTCAGACAATCATCCATTTTAGGAAAAACAAAATCATCAACAAGCAGAAACATTTTCATAGGTTTTTTTATATATATATCCAATTACTTAATTGGATCCTGACTGTAAACATACATATATAGTTTGGAATTTTACCACCAAATCTATCAATTTTTGTGCATTGGTTGACAGCAATTTAGGACTTTGGTGAGTATTTCCCCCACAGAGGGATTCTGTCTTGGAAGCTGTCTAACACTTGCTCATCATCAACCAGGAATGCACTAAAAGCCATGACACAGTGATTTCAGCCAAGTTCTAAGAAAGCACTAGACAACTGCTTTATGGAATACTTGAACATGAACTTCCGTGCAGTATTTGTTAGGAGCTTTTATATACTTTGTTTCTGTACCATCTGCTTTCCTATCACATTTGCAAGAGCTAGTTTTATATTCTGCAAAAACATTCATACATTTTGGGTTATTATGGACTCTGCCCCTCCAGCCTTTGCTGAATTCTTTATTAGCTAACCACTGTTACACTTCGCCTATGCTACACAAGTAGAAAAGAAAAAAGGTAGCATGATTTTATTTTATTTTTTTTTATTAGATACACTGACTTCTTCAGTGTTCCCCTAGCAGGTATAAATGAGTCACAGTTAAATTTCTGATCTGTTACATTAAGATCTCACATGAATGAATCTCAAAAGGGAGGCTTTTCATAAAGAAAATCACCCAGTGGTTTGGCATGTTATGCTGTACTGCTTCCGCAAAAGCATTCTGAAATATTAAGGATGTCATATAGGTACTGCTGTTGTCTGAAGTTCAGTGTTTAACAACCTAAAGGCTGGCTACTGCCATAATTTTAGAGTACTACACTGGCTGCTTTTCTGTGAAATGCTGTAAGAAAGAAATGCTTTGAGTAACCACAGACTACATATAAGGAACTATTATTATTATTCCTCCCCCAAAATGCCATAGTAAAGTAAAAAGGTAGAATTCAATCTGGTCTTAGCTTCTCAGTTGCATCATGCAATAAAACCACTCCTATTGCAAGACTGTTTTCCACCCCTACTTGCTTTGACACATACCAACTTGCATTCGCTTCACTGAGCATCTCTGAGATAATCCGATCCCATTGGAGGCTTCACAGTAATACTCTCCAGTGTCATTCTTTGTAACTGTGTTAAATAGCTGTTAAGACAGAGTCCAAAACCATTATCAGAATGGAAAAAAATTCAGAATTTCCTGTGGGATAGAAAGTTTGACATGTCAATAGAGTTTGGTTAGTTGGTTTTTTAAACAAAAAACCTGAAAGCGCGTAATTGACTTCATAAGTCAACTCCCTAGTCACATCCCCTGGCCCTTAAATTCAGCTTCTGGTCTAAAAGGGTCTTTTAGATGGACATTTTAACCAGATGGTGTGTATCTACAAGGAAATTCTGTTTCAGTGAATCAGTACTTTCCAACAAAAGGCATTTTTTTTAGACATGCTCTAGTTTCAGAATCCCCAATACCAGAACATTTTGCTCATTTCACAAAAAAAAAACCCCAAAAATAATTCCTGTAGTACAAAAATATTTCCCAAGGAAAGTTTGTGGGCTCACCCCCCAAAAAATGTCACTTTGTAATGCTAAACTGCATTATTTATCAAATACTACTGCTGTAAAAATAAAAAAAAAAGGAAGCAAGAGATGGACAGACTGACCTCATATTCATTCAAGTGTTCCTCTATATTTATTATTTTTTAATCATTAGACCCATTAGTGTTTTTCACTTTAATATATCCCATACTTTAAGATTTTTCAGAAGTGATTGGTAATTTTTTTTTAGCCCACCCAATTTCCACAGTGTGCTGAGAGATCCACAGCACCTCAGAATGCTTAGTCACATTTCAGTTTCCAGGTTTGATCATACACAAGAGTAGAGTGTCCCTGGAACAGCTCTTTACTTCTGAAAAATCTCAGCTGACAATGCATCATAAATGTTTTTTTTGTTGTTGTTGTTGTTGTTTTTTGTTTTGTTTTTTTTTTTAGAGGGTTCAGCTAATGATGGAGGGGTGAGAAAGAGATGGCCAGTTCTGAGGGAACACCACCCCCCCAAACGAACAAACACCTAAACCAAAAAACACACTAAGGTTACTTACAGCTCCCACTCATTCCCATTGAATTCACAAACACCAGGCTGGAACCTGTAAATGCCACCAGGTTGCACGGATTTTGTACTGCTCTTAGCACTGCACTCCCACAGAAGTGTGCAAATTTGCTATTTCAGATTTTAAGGTGCTCTCAAATATAACTCCATTGACATACTGAGAGATCGTTCTCACCTGGCGCTGGTTAGTTAAATGACAAGGTGAAATTTGTCATGTCTTCTCTAGATTCTGCTCATTTCTCATTACTGCAGCCTTGCAACTCACCCAATTCATCTGTATCACTCAATGTCTATGGCTTGTCATTGGTCTGAAGCAACAGCCATCTTCTATGTTTGTTAGTACGTATTTCAGCATGACATTGATCTCTGACAAAGACCTTGTGCATTTTTGGATTAAGACCTCTGTGCATCATTGTCCTAAAGAGTAAATTTGGTTTTCTTGGTAGTCGGTTATGACAGAGTTGGTTATTACACTTACCAGAGTGCCAGACTTTCTATTCATGGTGTAAGTTATGTTTGCTGCTCTAGCACTGCCTGCTCCTGTCTTTTCCAGTAAGGGAACACCATTCTTGTACCACTGGTACTCTGATGGAGGAGACCCCTCCGTCTCCTTACAGCTCAGTTCCACTACTGTTCCCGTCATCGCAGAGCTGGGTACCTCACACACCGGAGTAGTTGGAGCAACTGGAAAATCAAATCACACTTGTTATGCAGTCTTAGCAGTATTGTCTAAATGACACCAGTTTGACAGACACTGGTGAGGGGGTGAGCACTCGTGTACATGCTTAGAAACTACCACGTTAATGATGTGAGGTGCTGGAGACAGAGTACTGCTACCAGAGAGTGCAGTAAAATTTGTGAGTTGCTAAAAATGGAAGAAAGAGGCTTGCTTCCAGCCTCGCCCACCACATGCTGTGTCATCCTGTCTCCAATTTATACACTCTCATCCCACCCCAGAGGTTTTTTTCACCTTGTTTCTTGTATGAGGCCTCTTGCTCACAGACAGAGGAGGGGTAAGGGAAGCTGTAGTTCTGCAATTCCCCCTTTCCCTGCCCCAGTATTTAAAAAGAGAAGTGAGAAAGAGTAAAAATACTTTTTTTTTTAATTAAAAGTCAAATGATTTTTGAAATTTGATTGTCAAAGAATTACCAAGACTGGCTATTATCACAGTCATCATGTAAATCTCAGGTTGAGGGCCAAAACCAATTGGCTACTAATTTTTAGTTTAAATTAAAAACAAACATTCCCACGCACAGATGCAGGAGAACTGATCATTCCTTCTGCCATGAAGATGAATGTCTCTTTTTGATTTTTATTATGTGATCAGAAATTAATTTTTTTAATAACTTAATGCTATGCAGAAGAAAACTAAGGGTGAGGAAGTACACATGGAACACCAAAAGCACAAGTGACACCTTAACAAGTATTCATAAAGGGTTTGTGAGCAACACACACACACTCTGCTTTGGGCTCTAAGACTTCAAATTAAGAAGGTACATTTAAAAGAGGAAAGCCACTTGAGAAAGTGGACAAAAGGAGGAATAAGTGGGGTTACCTCATTTTTGAGCTAATAAGAAGTTCATGAATTTATAATCCTTTATGAAGAACTTTGAGACTTTATATATAATTTTAAAAGATCAACTAATTCTGTATCAAAAAAACCAATACAGAAACTACAAAAGCAAATATTTTCTTTTCCTCCAGATGGAGAAAAGAAGAAAACTACCAGCCTCTACCACTCATCCACTGGGAAGAACACCAGGAACAACGTAAGAAGGATGTGCTTATATTCACCTTTACCTCCTTTCCCCGACTGGGAAAGAAAACAAACAAAAAGCCACAAAGAACAACCACCCCCTCAAGTCAACACCATCTCTCCTGTAAATAAAATGCACAGATTGCTAGCTCGCTGGCTGGCATTGCACAAGCACTGCAGCAGTTTCTCCTTCCAAAAACAGGAGGAGACTGTAGCATATTGGAATGAACTGCTGCTTAGAAATATTTGATAAGTGCTGACAGATGCTGACTTTCCAGTACCAAACACCATGATCATCTTATCAGCCACTGAGTGACTTCAGTTTTAGTAGAAATGGGTGTTTCACCATCACATACATCAGCATACTTGCTAAGTTTTGAGAACTGAAACCCACATTTATATTATCAAAACCCTAGTTCTGTTCCTTTCTAACGCACGTGTGAGTTTTGCAAAGCTCTTCTGTGGAGTATGCTGTAGAACGTGCATGTGCACCTGTGCTTATAAACCCAGCCCAAAGAAGACCCAAAAACCCAGCAGCTACATACCATATGGACAACCCTACCTTCAACACCCCTTGCCATCATTCAATGTCTTTACAGAAGCCCGAGTAACAAAGTGTGTACCCAATACTGTGAGAGTAATAGTAGCTTCTCCCAGGCGCTGCCCCTCTTCACTCTTTACACTGATCTCACAGCGGTAGGTCGCAGAGTCCCTTCTGGTCACGTTTCTAATACGAATTCCTGTATTCAGCATCTCTGCTCGGCCTCGAAGATCACCTTTAAGGGAGAACAGACAAGAGAAGTTTCTGCTCTTTGCTTATAGCAAATGTCTACATCTCATTGGCTTGTTCTGAAATCATGTACAATTTATGAACTCCTGCTCTTTTCTTCAGAGTTAGTTATCTATCACCAAGGAGCAATAGGTAATCCCCCTCCCAAAAGAGCAAGAACCTTCCACAACTTGTCCAAAAAACCTCTCAGTTCAAAAAAAACCACAGCAAAGTATTTGACATTTTAACTTAGCAAGAAAAACTTGGTGGGTTCAGTAAAGATATTGCCATCAGACTTCTTACAATTAGGTAGGGTTTTTTTTTTTTTCATTCTACAGCTTATTAAATTAAACTTGAAATTAAAGTTACAAGCACACAGAACTGTGAGTTCCAGTGTTTCTCTAAATTAAATATATGCAGACAAAAACCCAAGATCTACAAACAAAATCACTGCGCTTTTCTTCTCAGCCTTTGTTTATGGTGTACAAGGTACCAGAGACCCATATTTTCTTCAACACACAAAGCTGAGGTAAGTCCTTTTCAGAACATACAAACAGAAATTCCACTTCCAGCACATCTTGCAAGATCTACAAACAAAATCGCCGTGCTTTTCTTCTCAGCCTTTGTTTATGGTGTACAAGGTACCAGAGACCCATATTTTCTTCAACACACAAAGCTGAGGTAAGTCCTTTTCAGAACATACAAACAGAAATTCCACTTCTGAAAAGAACACGAATAATTTAAAATATACAGCTGACTTTATATTTTATGTATATAAAATTGCTGCATTATTCACATCTAAGACTCCAGCTCTACAGAAAGCTTCAGAAACCTCTTTGTAAGATAGGAGTACAGAGCCTGCAATTGTTCTGGGGAGTTCATATTTGAATGTAATTTCATTTTTGAAAAATGTCAAGGAGTATGCAGTGACATTTTTCTTAATCTTAAGTTTTATTATATTTAACTTCATTAAAAAGATAACTAAACATTGACATTTTTATTAAGAAATGTTTTTCTCCCCCCCAGGGAAGAATTCTTTTCCTCAAAAGGACAGCTGTTCATTATGGAGACTGAAGAGCAATCTCTTTCAGTCGTTTTCCTAATGTTATTCCCCAAGAAAGAGTCAATATCTATGCTAGAGAATGACTTGTTAAACCAAGTACTGTACCTGTAAATTCACCATTGTAGTAGACAAATGAGACTTCTTGAGACTGGATTTTCTTCCATTCTATTCTTAAGCTCATCCCTTTTGAAAATTTGTGTTTGCAACTAAGAATAGCCTCTAGGAAAAAAAAAAAAAAACCACAAAAAGGGAAAATTAAAGACTTTAGTATTGTGTTTGGTACACATTCAGGCTCCATGAAATTAATAGTCCCCCTTCAAAAGCAGTCAACTTGAGCAGTCAGCAAGGGCCAGATGCCATCAGGCCTTCTCCAGACTTACACAAACACAATGGGAAAACAGAAACTAGTAATTTTCCCATACTTCAGTGGCCTTTGGATTAGACACCATATGTTGAGGACTAGATATTCCCATGTTGGATAGGCACAGATTCTGTATTACTACCCTCATTTTAGGTATAATATTTTTATCAGTGAGCAGACCACCATTAAAAAAGGACTCTGACCCTGTTATCAACAGTATTTCTTGAATTACCATTATGAATTCAGTATCAGTAGTTTTAGCTGTTCAAATGTATAGCTTAACAGAGATACAAAACGTACCAGTAAGATGGTTAAATATTCTCCTAAATAACTTATGTATTTAGTTACAGTTTCACATTGGCTATTGTAAGGGTGTCTGCTTCATTAAGGTTTCCTCATCAAGGACTTTTTCAATGCAAATGTGATAATAAGTAAAGGGGGCAACAACAAACCAAAACAGAGATACACAAACGTAACAAACAGGGACCAACAGAGATGATGACAACTACCATCAGTCTCCAAACAAACTAACGGGGCTGTGGTGTGGGCAACTGGAGCAAGTGAAGATCTCTGGATCAGTAGTTAGGGGGGCAACAGATGTTGGGAGTGCACATGTGCCTGGAGTGTGAGCTGTTGGAGCATAGAGGGGTGGCTTTAGTAAGCCTAGGGCCAGCAACTGGGGTCACATTGGAGGTGAAGACACCCCTGGTCTTGTGGTGCTGGCTTCTGGAAGTGGGGGTGTGTGGTGCATGTGCAGTGTTTGTATCTTCTCTAAACCTGGTGTGCCTGGAGATGTGTGTGTAATTCACTAGCAAACCTCAAGCTGGCCAAGCTAGCGAGTAGAACAAGCCTGGCAGATGGGCAGAGTGGCTTTGCTGGTACTCGGGGGATCCAAGAATATGTACATGCTTGTGAACCTAGAGGGTGTTGTGGGAAGGCTTTTACCACTGAACTTCAATCTCCACCAGCCAGAGAGGAGGAAGGAGGCTCAGATGTCTATGCTTTATGTGAGCCCAGACAGTATTATAGAATCATAGAATCGTCTAGGTTGGAAGAGACTGTTAAGATCAAGTCCAACCATCAACCTAACACTGTAAAAACCACCACTAAACCATGCACCTAAGTGTCATTCTACCTCCAGAAATGGAGATTCAACCATTTCCCTAGGCAACCTGTCCCAATATTTGATAACCCTTTCAGTGAAAAAAAATTCTCCCCACATAGCCTCACAACATCTTCGTAGTCCTCATGAATGGCCTGCCCTTTCTTCCAAAGGCCATAAACTCTACCTTTCCCTCCTGCCCCCCGAGTTGCAACCACATCTCTCTGTTCAGCCAGGCCAGTCTTTTTTCCCCAATGGTTCATTTTTGACACATGAGGATGTGTCGAAAATGTGAGGATGTGTCCTATGCCCTTAAGACTTCCTTCTTGAAAAATATCCAGCCTTTCTGGACTCCTCTGACCTTCAGGACTGCCTCCCAAGGGACTCTGTCAACCAGGCTCTTGAAAAGATCGAAGTCCCCCCTCCGGAAGTCCAAGGTGGCAGTTCTGCTGACCTCCCTCCTTGCTTCTCCAAGAACAGGAAACATTTCATTTCTTAATTGCCATGCCAATATATACGTGGGTGCTGTTGAAGGCTGTGGCTGGCTGTGTGGCTGGCAGTGCCAGTATTGCGAGTGTGTGGATGTGTACACACAGACATGTGTCCCCACACAGACAAGCACAACCTTGCTACTGGTTGAAACTGCAAATGGGAAAGCAGCAGCTGTGTCCATCTGCCTGCAATAAAGACCCCCAGGTCTCCAGGCACATTGGGCTGGGCTCAAGTGGCCAGGCAGGAGAAATCCCCAGACCCCCAGATTTTCTTGTGGCAGAGGCTGCTCATAACACCCCTTGGCAGTTGCCTCTTATTTTTCTTGAGTTCTTGAGAAAAGAAGGTTCATACAATCATTCACCTTTCTGCCTGTCCACTCCAGTTTCCCTGACTTACATATAGTGGGCATCACCAACCAAATGTCACAGAGAGGCTGAGATTTCAAGAGTTACTGTTTATTGCTAAAGTTGCCATAAACTGGGTAGGAAACAAACCAAAACTAGTGCTTCTAATGAGGAATAGGTCATACTGGGAGCTCAACTGTTCTTTTTCCTTCCCTTGCATCAGGGCATCAGCACATGCCATCTCTAATATGTAGCTTGCATCATAGTAATTGCAGTCTATGGTGGAAGAGCATGCTGAAATATCTCTTTTTTTTTCTAGTAAATAACTCTTAAGTCAAGGTATTAATAGGAATTGTTGGGAGATAACATCAGAAGAAAATACAGCCACACACCTGACTACCTCAAAATTTATTAATAAAGTTTAGTATCTCCCAGAAACTTTTGTAAGAGAAACAAATACAATATTGATCTTGCCACCCTTAGGCTGCTCACCTTCCAATATAGGCCAGACTATCAAGCTTTTACAGTTTTGACAATGCCAGTCTAGCTTTCAGGAGACAAACATCTACTGCTCAAATGTCATTGTGCATTAACCAGCACCCTCATTTCCAGTCTTGGCAAACAAGGCTGAAGGGCAGTTAACTGACAGATCTATCCACTCACCCTTTAGAGTCTGATTTTCCAGGTCTGTTCTGTAGAGAAACAAAAAGCTTCCAAGGGGCCAGGACTGGTAGCCTTGGTGATGTCTCACAGAGGAAAAAAAATGTCCAGACTTGAAAGAAAAAACTGAGGCAGGAGGGCATTCTTTGCCAGAAACATGTTACAGACGCACTGGCCACTTCGAAAAACATGCTGTGCACTCAGGAAGCCTGAGGTTCCTGACTTCAGGTTGAGTGGATGGGTGGAGGCTTCCTGAATCTTAAGATTTGCTAAAGTTTCCTTTCCATTTTTGTTTTCGTATCCTTCTAACAAAGAAAAACCATCATTCAAGCTCAGCTTGCTTGTGCTACTGACCTTGTGACAGTTGGCTGCTCTCATGCGCTGGTCCATGTTAGTTGACATAGAGACAGCTCAGCTGAACAAGTCACCTCTGTCTTAAATAAGCTGCCCCTTTCTTGCATGCTACATTTTTTTGGTTTCAGAAAAGCTAGCATTGATGCCCTCCCACTAATATTAGTTGGAGGAAGGAAATGACATGGAAGAAAGGGAGCGCACACATAACAGACAACATAATAAACCCCTCCTTAGTTACAGGTCCCCTCTCCTGCTTTTTCCCATACTAGCAGAGTCAGCAAGAGGTACTTTCCAGAACAGGTCTACTTGACTTGCATTAAGGTAGGCCCACAGGACGCATCAGCACAGGCTCTGCCAGGCCTGGAAGAAACTTCTGGGATCTTGGAGAGGTCTGGACAATGTTTAACTTGGATTTACATCTGCTCTGGAGACTATCATTCAGTTATAGAATTAGGGAATACCTCAAGTTGGAAGGGACCCATACGAATCATTGAGTTCAACTCCCTGCCCCTTGCAGGACTACCTAAAACTAAACCATATGGTTAGGAGCATTGCCCAGACACCCCTTCCTTGAACTCTGATCAGCTTGGTGCCGAGACCACTTTCCTAGGGAGCCTGTTCCAGTGGCTGAACACCCTCTTCTACAGTAACAGGACTTGGAGTATAAAAGAAAAATGCATTTCAGATCAACTGCATTCAGCTGAATAGCTCTGCCTATCAGCCCCTGCCATTCCCTTAGTGCTGCTATGTAAAAAGAACTTGGCGTGGCATCTGAGCTATGTTAAACTGATCTCACTCTATCATCCAAATAACAAAAGAACAAAATGCAAGTCCTATGTCATGTAAGATGACAGAATCTAATCAAGCTTTAATATTACCTGAAGAGCTTCTCTTTCCTCTTGCCTGTCCTGCGCTCTAAATGTATTAAGTTTTTCTTCCCCAAAAGTGACAAAAATACTTGACAGAAGCCCAGCTGACAGCTTTAGAGACCTCCAAAATATTTGGTTATTACGTCAAATAGGTGAATAAAGCCTAAAGCTCAGCAAACAGTTCTTTCAATTCCCACCTCTCTCCATTTCAACCAAATGCAACCCCCTCCCCCCCGAAACAAGCAAACAAACCCCACATAAATCACAAACCTCACACACACATACTAGTATCCCTCTCATCTACTCAGGTTTTCCTCCCTGCCTCCTTAACTTGTCTAGGACGTTACTGGAAGTAATTTGTCATTTTACATGCTTCATATACGTATATAAATATGCAAATAGCTATTATAATTACAATTAAAAATAGCCATTAAGTTATAGTTACTGACAATTAGCTGACTTACAGTTGTTCTCTCTCTAGTCCCTCACTTCTCTGTCTTGTAAGATAACTAATGCTTCTCCTTTCTATTAGTTTCCATCATTCTGGGTGGAAGGAAATCAGGCAGAAGTTACAGAGTGAGCTAACAGGAATGACAAACAAGTCATAGAATCACAGAATAGGTGAGGCTGAAAAGTCCCTCTGGGGAGCATCTAGTCCAACCTCACATCAAGTAAGAGAAAATAAGGACAAGAACAAGATTACACAGTCAATGGACAGAGTAGAGTAGGACTCCTCAGGAAACAGGAAGACCATCTTAACAGCTGTACAGCTTCTGTATACATAGTTTGCATGTATTGTGTATATATTAAAAATAATTACAGCAACGCCCATACTGTACCCTTAAACTCCTCTGCTTTAACATTTTTGTTATCCGTTTCAATGGAAATTCCAGACACTTTACGATCTGCAAGGGGACAGAAAAAAAAAAAAAGAGAGAATTCAGCAATAAACACTGAAAATTTCATACATGCTTCAGCACCTACAAGCCATATATTTGAGATCTTCTTACAGTGAGCAGATTAGATATTGGTTACTAGAGAGAGCATGGGACTAAGAGTTAGGCCAGGACTGGCTATGTGGGTGGCCTTGAACAATTCCTCTTTTCTTCTTCATGCCCTGGCACCTGTAAGAAACAGTAATATTTCTCTTTTACAATAGCGTGACAATATTTACATGTGAAAAGTTCTATATTAACAAAAGGCATTGTTTTATCCTGGGGTAATGTCTCAGTCTATCTAATTGGGAAGACTTGTTTTAATCCGTAAGTGTATTTTCCATTGTATTCCTACTACAAGGCAGGCATGTTTACTGAAAAATACTGTGTACAGCTTCTACGGGGTAAAATAATGTGTGCAGTAATTGGCAGTTACCCCAAATTTTTGTGAAAATGAGAAGGAAAACATTAGTCAACACGTCAACATTTCTATAGTTTGACATCAAAGAGAAAAAAACCCATACATTCTTGGATATTTTTTTTATTTGGAACACTAGAATTCCAGAGAGAAGAAGTGAAATAACCACTAGCCCTACCATCAACCCCCACCCAGCTACCTCTTCCCGCACCGCACATGATTATACAGTCTCTCTTAATAGCTGCTCTCCAGGAAAGGACTCCACCATGTCCCCTCATGAATCAGAAGTGTTTGCACAAGACCCAAGAGTCAGTCACTGTTATTCTGATTACACCACGGCAGGCTACAAGTGTACCAAGTGCTTAAGAACAGCTAAATATAGTTTTTTTAAACAGGTTTACGGTAACTCACTCTTTTTCCCCAAAACACATCTCAAGTTTCCTTGTGTTTAGGACCAGTTTTGAAGACAGCATGGACACTCCTAAGGCAGTCCATTTCCTCCATCCACATCAGCCAACTCAGCAATTGCTACAGAAGGTATGAACAAGAACCTGGACCTTCCACCCATCAATAACATGTAGAAACATGGCTTGTTTAAGAGCATAATGTTCTGACTGATAGAAACCAGTCTCGCTTTACTTCTTTCAGTCTAATCTTCCTATTTATCTCTCATGCACACAGACCTCCTTCAATTTATTCCCAAATAATTAATTTCCCTTTCCCCTGCCTAACGGGGAAAGAGTTGCACACAACCTAGAAGATGGATATCCAGTCTTGATCTGAAGACACAAACAGATCACGAATCTTTCGCTTCTTACTGTTTTCTTTTGACAATTGATTACTTCTGTTGAAGCCTGTGCTTCATTTCTCACTGGAAAGAGTCCATTTGGGCTTTCAGTGGTGGGTTCTTATCCTGGTTCCAGTGGGGATAGGGTCAGTTTTCACAAGGAGCTGGGATGGGACACAGCTAGGTCAGCTGACCCAAACTAGCCAAATGGGCATTTGCTCTACACTAATCATATTTTCTATATTCCTCTATCGGTATTATTGTTGTTTCTTTCCTTTGCTGTTCTGTTAAACTGCCTTTATCTCAACCCATGAGTTTTGCCTTTTTCTTCTGATTCTCCCTCCGTAACACCACTGGGTGGGGGGCAGGGGGAGTGAGAGAAAGACCAAATGATTCTTCGTTTCTGGCTAGGGCTAATCCACAACAGTTCTCACAGCTCTGTGTTAGTGTGCTGTTCTCTTTATATGAAGAATGATTTGAGCTGGAAGGGACTTTTAAAGGTCACCTAGGCCAACTATCCAACCCCCCTGCAATGAGCAGGGACATCTTCAACTAGATCATGTTGCTCAGAGCCTCTTCCAAACTGTCCTCGAATGTTTCAAGGGACAGGGTATCTACCACCTCTCTGGGCAGCCTGTTCCAGTGTTTCACCATCCTCCCAGCAAAAAATTTCTTTCAATCTAGTCTAAATCTTCCCCCCTTTAGTTTAAAACCATTACTTCTTGTCCTATTGCAACTGGCCCTGTTAAAGTCTGCCCCCATCTTTCTTGTAAGCCCCCTGTAAGTACTGAAAGACTGCAATAAAGCCTCCCTGGAGTCTTCTCTTCTCCAGGCTGAAGAACCCCAACTGTCTCCACCTGTCCTCATAGAAGTGTTCTACCCCTCTGATCTTTTTTGTGGCCCTCCTCTGAATGTGCTCCAACAGATCCATGTCTTGCCTGTGCTGAAGGCTTCAGAGCTGGATGCAGTACTCGAGGTGGGGTCTTGCCAGAGCAGAGGGGCAGAATCACCTCCTCTGGTCTGCTGGCCATGCTCCTTTTGATGTAGCTCAATATACAGTTGGGTTTCTGGGCTGTGAGCACAGAATGTGCTCCAACAGATCCATGTCTTGCCTGTGCTGAAGGCTTCAGAGCTGGATGCAGTACTCGAGGTGGGGTCTTGCCAGAGCAGAGGGGCAGAATCACCTCCTCTGGTCTGCTGGCCATGCTCCTTTTGATGTAGCTCAATATACAGTTGGGTTTCTGGGCTGTGAGCACAGATTTCCAGCTCATGTTCAGCTTTTCATCCAATAGTATCCCCCAAGTCCTTCTTGGCAGGGGTGCTCTCAATCCCTTCATCGCCCAGCCTATATTGATACCAGAGGTTGCCCCAACCTAGGTGCAAGACTTGGCCTTGTTAAATTTCCTAGGGTTCACATGTGCTCACTCTTCAAGCTTGTCCAGGTCACTCTGAATGGCATCCCTTCCCTCAGGCATGCACCACTGGGCCATCTGCAAACTTGCTGAGGGTGCACTTGATCCCAAAGTCTGTGTTGCATTCTCCACCCAAACTGTTCCTGTGGCCCCTTCCCTCTATAGTTTTCTAGGATTTTTATTCAGCATCCTTTAAAGATACAGACTGTGGTTCGATTGGTATCTATAACCACTGCCTCTGAGTCATGAAGTAACAGTCAGAATGGGTATTTAAGTCCCCAGCACTGTAGCAAAAGTTCAATTACTCATTCATTGTATTCTGTTGTAGTGGGTTGACCTCGGCCACCTGCCCACCCAGCCGCTCTCTCACTTCCTCTCCTCAACACAGTGGGGAGAAAATAAAAGTAAAAAGCTTATGTGTCTAGAGAAAGACAGGCAGATCACTTGGCAATTACCACCACAGGGGAAACAGATTCAACTTAGGGAAAATTTATTAAATTTATTGCCAACCAAAAATAGAGTAAGCACTGGGGTTCTAGGGAGCAAGGGTTGCAGTCAGTCCATGACAGCTCCTCTCTGTCCCTCCTTCTTCCACACACTTGTCTTCTGCTCCAGCATGGGATCCTCTCCATGGGCCGCAGTTACCATCAGGAGCCTGTTCTAATGTGAATCCTCCATGCACTTCAGCTTCCTTCAAGGCATATCCCACTTGCTGCAGTGTGAAATCCTCCACAGGCTGCAGTGTGGATGTCTGCTCCACTGTGGTCCTCCACAGGCTGCAGGGCAATACGCTGCTCCACCATGGTCTCTCCATGGGCTGCAAGGGGATCCCTGCTGGGACATCTGGAGCACCTTCTCCCTCTCCCCTCAGGGGTCCCAGGGCTGTTTCTCACACTTTTCCCCTCAACCCTGGATGCCAGGCAGCGTTTTGCCCTTTCTGACATGGGCTTTCCCCGAGATGCCTCCATCGTGGCTGGAGGGCCCAGCCGTGCCCAGCAGTGGGTGGGTTGGAGCCGGCTGGAACCAGCTGTGTCCAGCTCGGGACAGCCCCGGCCGCTCCACACAGAAGCCACCCGGCAGCACATGCCTCCATCGTGGCTGGAGGGCCCAGCCGTGCCC